GACTATTTATGCTGGACTGCTTTGTGCTGCTGCCTCAGATGAGCATTTAGTTTTTTGATGTGCTTGTTCATAAAATTGCACTTTGAATGCAGCCTACTGTGTGGTAGTTTTTAAAAGTCCCTGGAGCTCAGACCAGATGAATGGGAAATGCTATTTACAGCTCGAAAAATTAGTAAAATGTGGGCTGAAACAGAGTAAAATTGCCTAATGTCATGCAGGTTTGGTACTGTGCTACTTCCTATGTGTCGAAACACTTTAATGGGAAGTCTGCCCTCCCCTTCTGGTGAACAATTACCACACCTTCCTCTTGCACCTTTCAGTGGTCTCTCATAGCTCCTTAAAAGGTGGTGGTGTAGTATAGCAAACTGGATGCTGCTGACCAAAAAAAATTTTCTCCAGCCTTCCTCTGCTGTCACCGTGTGCCAGAGCTGCTGTGTCCTCGCGCTGCCTCTCTCACTGATGGCTTTAGAGCTCCAAAATGAACAAACAGGTCAGGCAGAGTTTTTTCTCTCTCCTTGTGCTCAGCCACATGTCATTATCAAATATAGGAATTTGTCCTCTCAGTTTAGAGAAATCAATTTTTTAATTAAAAAAAAATTAATTCTGGGGGACTTGGGGGTCTTGTGGTGCTGCAGCATCCATGGCTTCAGTTGGAATCCACAGATTCCTTTACTCAATATTTGTATATTTGAAACCAGGAGGGCACCCATGAAGCTCTTTTTGGTGGATTGTGGAGGAAAGAGTCAAGAAACATTTCAAACTATTCCAGATATGGATGTCTGAGAAAGGATGGGCACAAAACTCGATGTTTGTCCACTAAAATGGGATTTTCAGGTGCCCCAGGGATGTTTTCTTTTTAAAAAGTGTTTTGTCTATTCCACCTTCACAGAACCCTGCATTGTTTCTCAGTAGGTAAAAATCTAGGAGGTTTCAGAGTGCTCTGGAGTTGAGACTTTTTGGTTCTTCTGCATTTTTTTGGTGGGAAGGGAAAACAGGGATCACACAGCAACTGTGTGTGATCCAGTGAGTGCAGTGCCTGCTTTGGTCTCTGGAGCATCGTTTTTAAAAGGTGGCATAAGATTATTGTCTAAACCTCAGGGAGGGAAAAGTAAGTTCCTGTTCCCCATTTCTAGAAACAAAGGCAAGGCATTAAGGTTTTGTTTTGTTTTGGGTTTTTTTTGACATTTTGACACTTGAGCCAGTGGAAAACAACTTTTTCACACAGCCTCTGACAACTGCATTGCTGCCAACTCTTGGAAACATTAATTTATTACTTAGAATGCAACTGTTTGCATTCTGAGTAGCCAGACAAGACTGAGAGCAGAAAAGGAGGTGAGAGATGCTCCTCCATGATTTGCACCATTCTCCCAGCTTGCAGTAAAATAGAGAATTCTGTCCCAAGTAAAAACTGTCCAAAATTCTGAAGCAAGCTGCACAAAAGTATGTGAAATTACACAAATAGGAAACAAAAACATATCTCTCTGAAAGCTTCTGAAAACTGGAAGGTGGCTTTTTGGTTGTTTAGGGTTGCTGTTGGTGGTGGTTTTTCTGTTTCTTTGTTTGGGATTTGTTTGGTTTTTATTTTTTTTATTATTTTTCTGTGTGGGTATGTATTTGGGATTTTTCAGTTGTTGTGTGGGGTTTTTTGGTTTTTTTTGGTTTGTTGTAATTTTTACTATTATTATCATTATTATTATTAATAATAATAATAATAATAATAATATTGGTGTTGATATTAGTATTTTAGCTGTCTTTTTAAAATAGTGCAGTATTTCTTGGGAAAATATCTCCAGATGGGATGCTAATGGTTTTTCACACATATTTTTAAGTCTTGAAGCTGATTGATACAAACTCACATCACATTTTTTGAAACTAATAGGGTGAATTTGTGGGAACATGGAATAAGAAAGGTGAATGGGTTTCCAAGTTTGAAACCACGACTGAGAGGTGAAGAAGTGCTATTCTTAGCAGAGATGCTGATAAAAAAAGGAAAAGGGAGGAACCCCACAAGTATTTGTTCAACATTTGCAACCCACAGCTTGAAGTGTAAAGATCCTTTTGCCCTGTGCAAATCTCAACCACTCACAGCTTCAGCAGGAAACCAGCACTGCTTTAAAAAAGCTCTGCTGTGATAATTTAACTCGTCACCCTGATGATGCTTTGTGTGTCTAAGAATTGGAGTGAATTCCTGCAAAGTCAGGAAGAGTGCAACAAGGATTCCAGTTGTATTCCAGGTCTGCAGATGGCTTGGCCTTTAAATTCCGTTTCAGGGCAGTAATGCTGTTTTTACCATCTTATTCGAGTGCAGCTCAATTGCAGTGGCAGTGCCTTGGTCACTCACACTTGTTGAGCCTTGTGGGTTTTTTTTTGGTACAGAACTTATGAACCTCTTAAATAGGAATATAGCATAATATAAATTGATATGGGGCAAAGGATGTCTTCTGCACTTGAATATTCTGTCTAGTTTTCAACATGCCCTCAAATAATTTGCTTGAGTTCATTGGTTGGTTTGTCATTGTTTTTACACTTACTGCATAAAGAAAATACCTGCAACACCTTTACTTTTACTCTGATAGCCATAAACCCATATATATAAATAAATGAAAAACTGGGACTAGTGACAATATAGAAAAGAAAAAATAAAGAGCTAAATACTGCCATACATTCATCATCCCAAATTCAGCCACTTTTCTCACAATTTTCTGGTGTCTGGAATAAATACTGATATTCTGTCTTCCCCAATTTTATATTGCTTGTCTTCATAAATACTATCTAAACACATCTTCCTGCTTTTGTTCTTTATTTTCTCTTTTATTGAGGCATTTTTGACTGATTTCCACTTGTTTTAGGTGAAAAACTTTTTAACATAATACATACATATGGGTAAATACTGACTTTGGGGAAGTTTGGCTGTTAAGATTTACAATTCTTTAATGTCAGCTTTAATTTAGGATTTGCTTAGGATCTCTGTGCTTCTCAGGGCAACTAATCTCCATTATTTACCATGGAGTTCAGTATTAAAGCACATAAAATTTAATTCTATAATTGTATCACTTTTCAGGCACATGCACTGATTTTGTGTGAAAATGGTTCTTCTGAATTCAGAAAAATATGTTGTAACTTTCAACTTCCTTTTAAAAAAGTGGAAAGGGATTACCTGCATCTTCTCTGCCAAAGTGGGATATCAATGCAGTGCTGTAGGCAGAAATTTGAATTAACATTGCTGAGATATAGCCAGATTATTTCCCTTGTGCTTTAAAGCTTTGCATTTAGTTGCATCTTCTGATGCTCCAGCAAACTCTCCAAACTCATCAAGTGACTGATGGATATGTTTGTAAAGGCCTGGATGGTCATTTTATGTGAAATTATAAACCCACTGTTGTACTTAATGGGGTCAGTGAAGCAATCAGGAAAGAAATATAGAATTCTGCAGTGTGGGTCTGTAAGCATGATACTTCTTAGGCTTTTTAAGTTTAATGAAGCAGCTACTCAGCAGCTGAACATTCTTGTTAAACAGTCTCAGCATGGATTTTAAAACTAAAATGTTTGCTGAACACCATGGTCTCCTTGGAGAGTCTGTGGCTCTTATTCTCTTGAAATGCCTGCATCTTTTATATGTTAATGGTTTTGACATCAGCCATTTGCTTCATTTTCATTGTAAATGAGGCCCAGAGTCCGACTCACTTCCCCATTCCCTGCACACTCTCTCTCCTGTAAGCTGCCTCATCCAGCTCGCTCCCTGGGGTGTGCCTGCTCTGAAAATAGCTGAAGTAATCCTGCAAAACAAACGCTCTGCCAAAGCATTCTCCTATTTTGGGATGCCTTTCTAAGAATAAGAGTCCCTGTGTGAAAACTTGTGTGGTGCAAGTGGTCCAGCATCCACACGAAACCTTACTGCAAAGACATCTCTTCAGGGGCAAGGCCAAATCACAAGGTTTATTCTATACTCTTGGGGAAACACCCCTGTGTAGAGGGTTTTATTCACGTTTGATTTGTAAAGATTCTTCTCAGCTGCAGTGCTGACACTGTATATCTGGGTGAGTGATGCACAGCACTTTTTTTGGAGATTTTTATGATTTTTATGTGGGAATATCATCATTGCGACCTGCAAGGCTTACATGGGACTGCAGCCAGGTGTCCCGAGGTGTGCTAGGGAATCTTTCCCCGCTTTTGCAAAGGGATTAACTCATCCTGTGTGTGTGTTTTTGGTGCCTGATCCGAAGTGGAAGATGGCAGGGATGGTGGAATTAAATCCAGAACAAGCACACCCAGCCAGGAGCACCCATCCCACCAAGGCATCAGGAATTGCCCAGGCTCCTTATTCCCAGCACAAACCCTTCCTTCCCAATTGCCATGGTGGAAAGCATCATGCAGAACACCCTCACAGTGATGTGAGAAGGAGCAAAGCAGAGCAGAGAGGCATGGGCAGGCTGTGATTTCTGCCTCACCTTGTGGCATAAATTATTGCTGTGCACAGGCTGTGATTAAGCAGGTTTGTGTGACTAAAGCCCTGTACAGGATTAATTGCCAGGTCTGTGCTCTGCTGTGGGTTGGTGATAGAAGACACTAAGCAGCAGTGAAGTGTTGTCAAAGGGGATTTGAAGCCGATCAGACATCTTCCTCCCCAGTACATAACTTTCCCCGTTGGCAGACAGCCTTTAAATTTGAAAGTGCAAAAAAATTTGAAAGTACAGGGTGGAGGCTGTATATTCCTTCGAAACATTTGGAGGGAGAGTGACAAAAGGTTCAGCCTCTCTGTTTATCACTCCTGACTTCAAGATTCTGCAGAGGGAAGACAGCAGGGTTGCTGTCTTGCTGCCTGTGGGATGTGCAGACTGAATTTTTTTGGGTGACACCTGATGCTGTAAACCCCTTCTCCCTGCTGAGTGGGCTTTGGAAATCTGGGGTGGGGAGTGAGGGATGCTCCTTCTCACGCCTGGTGTTGGCCAGGCAGGGAGAGATGTGCCCCACAGCACCTCCCTGTCCTGGCTCCTGCCTAGATGGGGACCCGCTGCCCAGCGCCATGAGGACGAACCGCTGCAGCCACCTGCCCGGAGTGTCCCCAGAGTGCCCACGCCCTCCAGCCCCCGATGGCAAGAGCCTGCCCGGCAGCAGTGGGGGCCTGGCCACCAGCTGTCCCCCCCAGTATGTCATGCAGGTGTCCTCCAAGGATGGGCAGCTGCTCTCGTCCGTCGTGCGCACCCTCGCCGTGCAGAGGTATGTGGGGGGCAGAAGGAGGGACAGGTTAATCCCATCTGGTTTAACCCCCATCCCAGCATCACTATCATCCTGCTGCAGAATGCATCACACTTCCCAAACGCTTTCCCAGCTGGAGTGCTGAGCAGCCAGACAAGCTGTTCCTAGCACCAGCGTGGCAGCTTCTGTCTCTGTCCGAGTGATTGACCAGCTCTTCCTGCTGCTGGTTTGGAGAGGCAGATCAGTGGGGAAATATATTGTTAATCTGTGCCTCTGAAGCATGCCTCAGGCTGGTCTTGTTCTCATTAAAAGCAAGAAAGAGTTTTCTGATGTGTTTAGCCTTATCCAGGCTTGGTGCTTGGGTCAAAGTTAAATTTGTATTTGCTGGTGGTGAGCTGGAAAGGCTTCATGGATCTCAAAGCAGTGCAGAAGAAATACCCAGCTGCAGCCACACACAGGGATGTGTTTGGTACAGCTCTTTACAGTTCTGTCTGTATCTCTGCTTGACCTGCCTGTGGGCTGTCCCAAAGAAAGGAAAATCCTTTCCAGAGAGAGGAGGCTTCTGCCTTTTTGTGCTTTTCTGAAGTTGTGGCCCTGCCTTCAGGGTACTACAGGGCAAGGTGCTGCTCTTCCAGCAATACTTTACTGTTGGCCAGTGAAAACAATATTCAGGTCAGAGGATCACCACTACAACAACAAGTGCCCAGCTGAGGCAGATTTAGAACCTCCCTGATGCACTTTGGGACTTTCTGAGGTGGCTGCACCACTGCTTTGGTTGGGAAGAGTCAACCAAAGTTGACAAACTCTTGTCAAGAGTTGGGAAGTACAAAATACAGAAGGACTTGGTCTTCTGCCTCTCATCTGCCACTCTGATGTTCTTCTCTCTACACTTCCTTCCCTCCCACCCCAACAGAAGAGCTATTTTAACCAAGGATACCAAAAACGCCTTAAACCATTAGCGCAGCAGTTCGGATTACAAATTACAACGCTCTTAAATATTTCTAGCCCGTGACAGACAACAAAGCCTATTGCCATGAGCCTTGACCAGCATTTTCCTCTCCCTCTCCTGCAGCAGCCCCTTCAATGACCGGCCCATCTGCAGGATCTGCCACGAGGGCAGCAGCCACGAGGAGCTGCTGTCCCCCTGCGAGTGCACGGGGACCCTGGGCACCATCCACCGCAGCTGCCTGGAGCACTGGCTGTCCTCCTCCAACACCAGCTACTGCGAGCTCTGCCACTTCAGGTTTGCGGTGGAACGCAAGCCCAGGCCACTGGTGGAGGTCAGTATGTGTCAGGCACAGCCCTGAAATCTTAGTTTGTCTTGGTTTGAAAGACAGGTGTCTGCTAAGGAAGGCAGTAGTTTCTCTTGAAATGGAAAATGTAACCCCTCCCCTCCTTCTGAATTATTGTAGTTTTGAAGTTAAGGAGCTTCCAGGCAAAGATAAGAGAATAGGAATAACATTTTTTTTACTAGGAAAATTAAAATTAAAAGATACGGTAATACTACACAACAAAACTCTGACAGAGTCAGAATACAACCTGACACCTCCTCATTCAGGGTATTGGTAGCAGTCCCATTAAAAGGTGGCTGCAGTCCTCCTGGAGTGACAGCTGTGGTGCTGTTGAAGCAGTGGTCCTGTAGAAGGGTGCAGTTCTCCTCCACAGATGCAGTGATGATGTAGAAGGGTCTGATTTTCCTCTGGGAATCCAGTGGAAAAAGGCTGCTCTGATGTTTTAAACCTCAGGTTTTATTTAGGTAGGAAATGCTTGGCTACTCCCCCTGGGTGAAGCATCTCCCCATGGGATGATGTCATTTTATCAGTCATGCAGTGGGACACGATGGCTCATTAACAGAAGATGCCTCCCTGGAGGAAGGATGAGTGGTGGAAAAGATAAAGAACACTGCCCCTGTGTTTTAACAGATGATGACAGAATACATACTTTAGTTTACATCCTGCCTTGCAACCCAAGCCATAGTTTTGCTGGCAAAAATCCACGCCTGCCCTCATGCAGGCATCACAAAGCCTCTGTGGCTCCACTGGGGCTTGGCAGTGTGAGGGTGGGAGCTCAGGGAGTGGCAAAACTCCTCGTTTTGGAGCGAGTCAAAACAAATTATTAGAGTGGGATTTGTGGGTTTGCTTCACTGCAAACCTGAGTGGAGGTTTGGGAAACAGTGGTGCAGCACATTCCTGGAATGCCAGCCAGCTTGGCAGAGGGTGGAAGAGAGGTAAACAACAGTTTCTGTGGAATGTAGGGCAAGTGTCTGCGCTCAGCATATTAAATATAGGTCAGAAATTATTCTTTTTTCTTCTTGCTTTTGAGAGGTAACAAACTTAGGAGCCCTAGAAACCCGGTTTTCATGCCAATCCCACGAGAAAGAATTGTTCTTGTTCAGTGTTTAGACATTTTTTAGTGACATTTTGGGCTCTTCTTGCCTATGCGCCAGACTCGACAGTGAATTCAACAATTGTTTCTCCCTTATCAATTAAAATTAAGTTTTTGCGAACCACAGATAGCAGATTCATGAAGTTTTCCAGATTTTAGGGTATTTTTCTTTTCCTCAGGAAAAGAAAAGAAATCAAACCAAGTTCAGTCTCTTGACACTGTTAATGACCTTTTTTCCTCCTTTATTTTATTTTGGAAAAAGAGGAAGCAAAGTTAGGGTTTCTTTTGGAATTAAATATAAATAACCTTTGGCAAAATGAATGAGAATAAGCATTTTGTACCTGTTGGTGATACATGCAGAACTTGGGTTCGGACAAAGTGTCTTTCCCATGCATCTTAATTGTTCCTTTAAACTGTGTCAAAACTGGTGGAAGGAGGCACAGTATTAAAAATGGGTAGGGGAAAACAGCATTTTGTTTCTCTCGTGTTCACAGATAAGAGGACAGAACTGACTGCTAGGAAGTGGGTCAAGGGATGAGCAGCTCAAGACGACCAAAATTGCTTTAACTAAGATAGGCATGCACATTTCGTGTCTAAGCCCACGAATATCTTCATTCTTCCTCAGGATCCCCCCACAGAAGGTACATGGCAGGGCATTTAGCCCAAGTGCTGCACCCAGAGCAAGTTTTGGCCAGTCTGTGGCTTGCTGTCTGGTTCTCCTCTCAGTCTTTGGTGCAAGAACAATGCCACTCTGAATCTGCCCTCTTAGAAGAAAAATAAGTGGTGCTGAGGAATCACAGTTTGATTTTAGAGCCCAGCCTCTCGAAATTGTTCCCTTCTGGTGGCCCCTGGTGAGGCTTGTGCTGCACAAATTGATGTGGTGCTGCCCAGAGCTGATGATGATGATGATGGAAGGAGCTGGAAGCAAAGCTGACCCTGCCCAGGCTGGGGCACTGTGGTTGCTTGATTTTTCCCTGATGAAACGAGGCTTCTTTTTTGGCAAAAGCAGTGATAAATAGTAGAAACAAGAGCAGTGATATTTAAAGTAATAATGGTGAAACCTGCCAGTTGTTTCTCAGCTGAGGACAAATGAAAACCCTGACCAAGAACATTTCTGTAACATAATTAAGTGTTTTTATCTTTACTACTCATTATTTTCTGACTTCTCAGCTACTTACACACACAGTATTTTAGTGCAGAAAACAACAGTTGGGTGCAGTTGCAGGAAAGGTCATAAAACCCCCAATCCTTTGTGATATTACAAATATATTTTCAGTTTAGAAGGAAAATGAAGATGTACTTTCAAAGCCGCATATACAGAGAGTAAGTAAAATGAGCTGTAAGCCAGGGGGAAAATTAAGCAGAAAGATAATCAAACTTCTTGGTTCCTGCCAGCATAACTTAAATTTGTCCTGGAAGTTTCTACTTATTTAGTGCTTTGAAATGAGAATACATCCCCATGCAAATGCAGCAAAAATCTGAAAGTTCCCGAACTAGATGAAAGTTGCCAGATTCCCGCATCTTCTGTGTCCTAAAAGCACTTTCATGCCTGTCTCTGCGTGTTACCTGGAGTGTGAAGATGTGGAAGGAGGTTTTTCAGGTGTAGTAGGACCATTTGTCACAAAAACTCTGCTGTAATATTTGGATAAGTGACAAGCCAAAGTGGCCACCTGCTTTTAACACCTCAGTGCGTGTAGGTGTGGGCTGAGGTGTCAAAGTTCTCTTCATTTAGTGAGGTAATTAGTTCTCCAAACATTCCCCTGACCTAGATAATGGAAAGAGTAAATGGTCCTCCTCTCACTGAAGGTGAATGATGAGTTTTACCAATGTGTTTTAGTAGGTCAAGGGGGGCTATTGTACTCATAAAGTGATTTATAGAGCACAGACTCTAAAAACCTATCCAGTAGCTCCTCAACAGGCCCTATCTCACAGAGTGAATACATCCCATTCAGGGGTCAGTGACAAGTAGTGAAGAAATGCTCAAAGCAATCAGTCATCATATTGATTTTTTTCTCCTAGAGATATTCCACCAGGGTGGGGGCGAAAAAAAGAGGTATTTCTGACTATTCCAAGACATATTATACTATTTTCCAAAGGAGAAAAAAAAAAAAAAAGAAAAAAGGAAAAAGAAATAGAAGAAAATAAAAAGAAAATAAAACAGCACACTATTATGTTTTCTCCTTGTCCCTTCCTTGCTTCCTAGTGGCTTAGACATGGGTGTGGGAGAAATCTCTTCCAGTGGAAACAAATTGAGGCACTACACTTGTTTTATCTAGTAATGTCATCTGTGAATTTATTCCTGCTGTTACAGGAGAGGGTGCATCAGCAGCGAGCTTTAAATGGAATGAGTGGTGTGGCTGATGGTTCAGCTGTGTTCCTTCCTCCCTGTGTCCATCCCCATGGAAGCAGCAGAGGTGCTGCTCTGTGCTTCTCCTTTGTCTCTGCCACAGGATGTATAATTTTGTCTGAGGGAGAATCTTGTCCCTGGAAATGCACAAGGTGCTGATTGTTTGATGAAACCCAAAACCCAACCACAGCAGCAGGCAATGGCAGTGCAGCCTGCCAGGCAGACCCGTCCTCTCAAAAAATAAATTTGGGATGCTTCTTGGTTCATTTCCTTTTTTGGACTAACATTATTCTCCCCAAAAAGATTTGTGTTTCCACACAGGAAACCAGGCACTGTGGTGGTCAGCATTCACAAGAGTGCAAAATTCATTTAGAGGAGTCAGGGTCTGAACCCACCCCTTGTACTCCATGACAAAGGAAATAGAAATCTCTAATAACCTATAATCATACGATCCATATGATGGTTGATATCCACAGAGCTCTTATGCCTTGTGACAAACCAGCCAAGGACCTCAAAGCCACCACAGTGAAATCTCAAACTGCAGTAATTCCATGACTGACTTTTATGGACCTTGCAGTTTTATACAAGCTGCCTTTTTAAGGCCAATCCACAGGAAAAAAAAAAACCCAATCTGCATTAGGAATGTGTGGTATTATTCACGTAGCTGCATTTGCTGTGTTTCAGCATAAAGATTAGTCAAGCTTTAGGTAAGTATTATGTATCATCTTCATTTCAATTTCCACATTGCATCTGTGTTGCTTCCACTTGGCTTAGTGCAGAAGCAGGCACGAAATGTGGCAGTACAAACATATTTATGTGCAATAATAAAATGTTAGGGAACAGCCAGCTATGAAATAAAAATGGTATAAGAGTATAATGTGACCATATAAGTCAGGCTTGTATTGCTTGTACGTTACTTACATGTTTTAAACCAAACAGGATTTGGTACCTATTGGCTCACTTTTTTTTTTTTTTTTGCAAACAAACAGAAAGCACTTAATTAACAATACAAAGCTCATAAGCAAAACAGCATGACTAGGACAAAAAATAAAGCCAGGATTAGCACAACAATATTGGGCAGAAATTAACTTCAGTTTTTTTCCCTGCTGTGTTACTGGCTATAGAGCTTATATCAGGAAGGTAAAATAAATTTTAAAACCCTCTAAAATGTACTCCTATGCATGAAGTATTTAAGATGAGCTTACATTACAAATTAAAACCTCCTGAAGCCTTGCACTGAAATATGAATTTATCTCCTGTGCAAGACTTTGAGTCACGATGTTTTTATCTGTTTGGATTATTTTTACTTATTTTTCCTCTCCACTGTTCAGTGAAGCAAGTCATTAGCATTAAATTACTGTAATGAACAGACACCAGATTTGCTGCAGGTAGTTTATAAAAAGATCACACCTCAAGCTAGAAGGAAAATAAATGGTTCCTCAGCATAGTCACCAACCAGGAAAACTTCCATAAATCAAAGTTTGGAGGAACTGCAGCTGTCCATACAGCATATTAGGGCTAGGAGCAGATAATTAAGGTGTGTCCATC